GCAGGCTGTGAACTCCCCCTTTGCGCATGCAAGTGACAGGCAGGGGCTGGAGGAGGCTGAAGAAGGAGAGACCCAGGCCTCCCACCCTCACCGCGTCACTCACCTTCCCATAGTTCCCTTTGCCAATGACTTTGAGGAAGTCGAAGTCGGTGGGCCGGGCACTGGGGGAAGAGGGAAGAACACGGGTCAGCGTTTGCAATCTTGGGAAACCTGAGATCCGCGCCAGGCTTCTTTTTCACTTTGAAGCTGGGGAATACAGGGAGCTTTCCAAGAACCAAGTCTCCTTGATGTTGAAGCATGCCATGTTCTCCCAGCCAAGAGGGAGCTTGTAAGACTGGACCCTGCCACTGGGGGGGTCTCACGATTGAATAAACAACATGCAAGGTGGGGAGAAAACCGTACAAAACTGCATAGAAGGTAAGGGATTTAGCTTCAAAGCTTGAGAAGGGCCGAAATGACGGGGAGCTGCTGACAATGAAGACTTTGGGGGGGTGTTCCAGGCACAGGCCTTGGCATGGGCGAAGGCTGGGGAATTTGTGGGAAATAAAGCTGGGGGATAGTCCTGGGCCCAAATGGCAGAGGGTCTCGAAGCTAGGCCAGAGAACTTGGATTTTATTCCCAAGGNTCATTCTTAGTTGTGGAGGGCGCAGCTAGCTCAGCTCCAAGTCCAGTTGCCATCCGTCCACCAGTTGGCAGCTTGCGGTTGCTCAGCTCAAGGTGCTGTGTTCAAGCTTAGTTGTGGGGGGGTGGGGGGTGGGGGGGTGCACAGCCCACCATCCCACGCAGAAATCGAACCGGCAACCTTGTTAAGAGCATGTGCTCTCACCAGCTGAGCCATCCTATCACCTGTTGGCAGCTCAGCTCGGGCGCAGCTCACCGGCCCATGTGGGAATCGCATCGGCAACCCTGTTGCTCAGAATTTGTGCTCTGAACCAACTGAGCTACTCGGCCGGCTCAGTATTCCATTTTATTGATTTACCATAATTTTTTTTCTTTTTTTTTAGCTGAGCCATCCTGCCACCTGTTGGCAACTCAGTGGCAGCTCAGCTCAGGCCAGGAATCAAATCAGAGACCCTGTTGCTCAGAGCTCGCACTCTTGAGAGAGCTCTTAGCTAACTGAGCCACTTGGCCAGCCCGATGTACCATAATTTACTTAACCAGTTACATACAGATTGACATCTGTTTGGGGTTTTGTTTTGTTTTTTCAAAATTTTCGCTAGTAAAACAATGCTACAATCATCAATCATCCTTGAACATGATTTTTTTTGGTGTCTTTTCCATATTTGTAGAATTCCTACCTGCTGATTAAGTAAGTTGTTTCCAAATTGCCCTCGAAAAAATCGTAATAATTTTTACTTCCATTTAATACTATTGCAGTTGTTTACATACAATCACAAAACCAGTATTTTTCATCTTTTCTAATAAGATAGGCCAAAAAAACC